GACTTCGCCATTAGGAGTTGTATGTGGTACGAGCCCCTTCTGACGCTGCTCATGCGGATCATCATTAATGGTCTTCACTTCCACTTTCGGAGTAAGCTTTTGTTGGCATATCAATGGAGGTATGACATTACCAAAGCCGAAGCTAATAGACACCATATTCGCTCTCACCTACTTTTCTTTTGGTGACTTCGATGTTATGATGTCGGCGTCAACCAAAGCTTAGATCTTGTCTTTTAGAATAAAACAATTCTTGGTGGGATGATGAACCTTCCTGTGATATGCATAGTATTTTGGGTTCGAAATCTTGTTGGCTTCCTCCTGATCTGTAATTAGAGGCAACTTGATTTTGTTGTTATCGAGGTACTTAAAGATGGCTAGAACCTATGTAGCACGGACACGGATCCGACACGGCCATCCGACACACCGACACGAGGCAAATTCTAAAAAATACATAGGATACGTGTGTTCGACACGTGTGTCCGACACGGACACGACACGACACGGCTTCATATTATGCGTGTCCGTGCTTCATAGGCTAGAACATCATTATCTTAGAAGGCGTACGTCTTCTGAAATCTCGGATCAAAAGTCATTTGTTGCCCTTACGGTTGTTGAAACCACGACAGTTGCGATGATTGCTGCTGCGGTTGTTGCCACGTTTGATTCGCATCGACAGCAGTCACAGGTGTCTTTCCCCTACCACGAAGAGTAAAATTAGATTTTGGAGAATTAACCGTCGGTTGACCTCTCTCAATCTTCTTTCTTTTGAGGAAACGTTTGGCGTGTTCTCTGCGTAGTTTCAACTCCTTCCATGTTGTTGATGGGACAACCCCTCATTGGCCTCCAACACATCAAGAGAGAGGTTATTATGACATGTTTGCAATATAAACTCTTCTGTAACCGAATCTCTGTAATTCATGGCCCAGTTACGGAAGCGTTTAACAAAATTATCAATCGACTCCCCTTCTCTTTGCTTTTCATCCAGAAGGGTTCCAATCGACACTTCAGTGTCATCGTCAAAGAAGTTGCTAAGGAACAAGTTTTTCATGTCGTCCTAGCAATTGGCGCTTCCCACTTTAAGACGTCGATACCAATCGAATGCGGCCCCACGAAGGGTGTCTACGAATGACTGAATCATCAAAGGCTCATTTCCAGAGATCATACCCAAATGAGACTTAAAGTAGATCAAATATTATGTTGGTGAGTCTCTCTCGTCAAATTGTGTGAAGTTAATTAGATCAAACTTTGGAGGGTACGAAATTGATTCTCACTTCCTTGGATATGGACACAGAATGTCAGTCTTCTTCACTTCTTAGACAGACATCAAAGCATTAACTTTATTCTCAATTTCTTTCATCATTTTCTTGTCTTCGCTCTCATCTTTCTTTGGGTGATGTTGAGGAAGATCAATTGGATTACCCCCGGCATGGGTAACTGACTGACCATCAACTGCAATGTTAATATCGTCGAAAGGTGCGTCAGCAATAATGAGTTCGTCCACTTCCGGATCGCTATCATCTGCATTGTTTTGAACAGTCATGATGTGTATAGTACGACGACTAAACTCAGCCCACTGACTGGACTCAGTTGTTGGGTCTTTAAGCCTGTATTTCTTTCATTTGTTGCATGACCAACTCCACCTTCGTCTTCATTTCAGCTCTAATTTCTTCTCTTTGTTTAGAGACCTTCTTGAAGCATTTGCGCCATGGATTCAAGAGTGATCGTGCACACCTCTCGAGTCTGTCCTACGCTTGACATTGTGTCATCGGAAGCAATTATGGAGCAAGTATCTGACAGTTCATCATCTGAAGATACTCCTTCCTGCACCTTCTATAGTCTCTTCGTCTGGCAGCTCTTAGCTGGAGTCAAGATATTCTTTGGGAGATTTCTGCATCAACTCTTCCGCCTGGGGTAAAGTCAAGATCAGAGCCAGTTGAATGATGTTTAAACTTTCTTTTTTCTTTACCGGCCATATTGATAGTTACTTCAGGGAACTCATCATTTTGGACGGCAGATCTTCTCTTTCGGAAGCGTTTTGGCTTAGGCTCAACTCTTCCGTTGATAGTGTGAAAAGTCTTTGAAATATAAAGACTCGTCATGGGAGGGCTTTTTGCTTGGACCAACTACATTCTGAAAGTACTGCTTTAATAAGTCTCTCACACGAACAACGAGAACTTGTTTCTTGAATAGTCCTCTTTCGAATCGAAGAAGTACTCGCACCACCAGTCTGATGGTACAGCTCATCGGCATGGTTACCGGAGCACCCCATCATTTGTTATTGCGATTCCACATGGATTTTCTTTCCATCCCCAAGTATAACTTTGTCTTTATTTGAGAGAGATGTCTTCTTTTAAGGATTTGGATATGACACCATGTGTTTGGTGGTATCATGCGGCTTAAAACACTCCTGAGAGTGTTTTTAGCCTTTCGACGTTGTTGACATTCTCATGATAACTTCTTGTTGCCTTTGAAGGATCTAAGGTCACGAGATGATCTTTTTTCACCATGTCATGAGTCATGCGTTTAGAACCACCCCTTGCGGGAGTGGAGTCTTAACGGACTCCTGGGCTTCAACACGAACCCCCCGAGGGATGCTCTTCTTGCCCAATCGGGATGCAACAAGAACTCTCCCAGAAAGGAAGGCCTCCTGGCCTCTTCCGTGCACAACGTACGAACAAGTATATCAAGATGTCACGTTTGTTTGGAGACGGCGGGACATATTTGTGCAATGGTTGACTTGATAGGAGTCGGTGCACGACCCCCGGTCTGAGGAACACTTTGGATATTAATCACCAGACCCAAACGTTCTTTTATTGGTGCCTTGCCTCGATCGTCGTGCCGAGGACCAAGGCGATATGCTAGTGTAATTATGAATCTTGATAAGTCAGGGCTGACCTAAAGCTTCACTAGTGACATGATAGAAGTGAAGGCAGATGAAGCTAGAACGGAATCCGAAATAGGAGACTGTCGTGGAAAGAAGTCTTTGGGCGGGACAATGTTTATTGTCTCGCCCAAAGGCTCATTGGGCGGGATAGTCCACTGTCCCGCCCAAAGGGACTTTTCTTGACGGCCTTCGGTTCTTGATTTTGCGTAGGTTCGGACTTTAGAATCCAAACCTTGCGGGATTTTGATGGTTCTCTAGCCATTTCTTTCTTCTTCAATTCTTACGCCTTCCGACTACGGGCACGTGCATGCGCGGCATGTGCACGACGCTTTTGGATGCGCATTGCGCTCTTTTTTATCAAACGAGTCATCTTGACGAGAACTCATTCCTCCTTCGATGGTCTGGCAGAAATACCAACTTGCTGCTGAAGTAACTCAGTTGCTTGGCGTTTTCGTGCTTCTAAGTCTGCATAGTAGCAAACTTCGTCCATCTGTTCCATAGCCCTCGCAAACTGGCGGGCTCTTCACTGGCGTTGTCTCTGACGAACCCTTTTCGTTAGAGTTGGCGAACTTTCATTTTTATTGGTTGACTCCTTCACTGGGAAGAAGTCATGGTAAGCTGAACCTCCGGCTTGATGGATTGCCGGAATAATGTTACTAGGGGAAGCCTCGACAACGATTGGGTGAGAGTCGTCACTTTTGAGTTCTATTGGTGTGAGAGACTGAAAAACCTTCTTCGAAGATGAGATCCTCCTGCACTTG